AGGAATGAATGACAGAATTTGCAGTTACCGCATTTGTAACTCTTTGAATCAAGCTAATCAGAAAGGAGGATGCATAAATGAAGATTTGGAGATGGTTGCTATGGTGAGTGATAGCTAAGCACTCAATTCCACACACTGGCGGTATAACCAATTGTTGTGCTTTCAAAGTCCCGTCTCAGTGTATTGCTCGAAGATTGATAGATTGTATTAATTGAAGACTTCAAATTCTTCAATTTAACTTCGATAAGCAAATGGTAAATGCAGCCTCGAGTGCATTGGAAAAAAATCGACAACATTGGAAGGCAGTTAGATGGACGCTGACAAATCGCCAGGCCTCCACAATGATTCCACTTACACATGACATCATGAGAAGATCATGACTAATAAGTGGTTCGGCACCTTTCGAGATGAGACATGCGCCGTAAGTGACGTCGTGGAGGATGACGAAAAGGTGCATGGAGTGTACGGAGTGACCGATGATGGATTTTGTGCAAATTGTGTGTTCGATCATCTCACAAGTAGCATTAATCCAGTTTAAGTGCAAAATTTAATTTTCAAGGTTCGTGTAATGCATTCATTCCAACTTGCCTCTGAATGCACTGCAAACTATTTACTCATCAATTAAAAGAACATCGTCAAATGCAAATACTTTCTAGGTCCTCAGATCTTTTAACGACGCACACGTCGACAATGAATTTGTATTATGTTCACATTAGTGACGGCTGCGGTAACGCTGTATTTTAACTCATATAACTTCGAACATGAAAGTCCTCAACCAATCATTGTGTTCGCGACGGAATTGGTACAAGACATCGGCCAAGTCCATGTCTTCGAATCAGCAACACTGCTTGCGATTTTGTCGGCATTTTCCTGTCGCAGTCGATCTACAGATTGACACGGACATGGATTTTATACTGGTGACTCACGATGACACTCATCAGATTACTCGAAACCTTCCAGTGATCTTTCAAATTAACAACCACTAATGCAGTCACATCGATTGGAGCTCAATCATTATTTTCATAATCGCTATTAGTTGAATTTCGATGTGGAATTACCTGGAGAAGACATACCTACACATACTTTCCACATGGTCGTGTAAATAGCATTTATGAGGTATAATGTGACAGTCTTGAGACCATTTACCAGTTGTGGATTAAGTATCAAGGAACAAAACAGTTGCTGGATGGAATTGGAGGGAATGTGCCGACGTCAAGGACGTTTCAAACGCTTGGAAATTGTGTCAAATTGCGGTCTGATTGACGATGGCACACTTCCCGTTTGCAGTCACGTTAAGACGTCAACGCAGTTGCTTGATATTGCAGACAGTGACGTACAAATGCTCAAGATATGGTGCCTACTAAGGGTAATTTCTGTAGGAGGCAGTCATGTGAAAACTCTCGGCTCATTAATGAGGTCATGCTCCAGCACAAAAATGTCAAGAGCGCAGACAAGATGCACTTCCCGAGTACGTTTGAGATGCCTGCAACCTTGAAACTGGTTGTGTGGTACTACTACAGAATATGCCACACATATCTGCCACTGAATTCCACGCTGACTATCAATCAGAATGAATACAACATGATGGATCAATGGCGTCAAAGCTGATATATATATAATCGATATTTTGGAAAGTGCTTAGGCATTTCAGTTTATCTGCATGAAATTAAAGCACCTGTTTGCAACAGTGCACGTGCTAATCATGAAATTTGTATGCACAACTCGACATATAGTACCGAAACAGCATTCTAAGCTGACCAGTGTATTGTGATTCGAAGCAGTTCTTGTGGGAATAAGGCCTGTGTTTATGGTGTAGAACACTAGAGCCCAAATAGGAAGACGACTGGTACAACAAAACAGGCTCTATTGACCAATCACAAGACAGAACCACACGTCAGGTTCTCTCAATCTGAGTCCCCCACGCCTGCGACGCCGCTTATTATATGCTGCACCTCATTCGTGTCCTTCTCTTGGTGGCTGCTTATCTTCCTCGAATGCCATTGGAACGCAGAGAGACACAGGATTGGCTGAGTCCAGCGTAGTCCAATATATCTGCGCTCTCAGACGTAATGGAGCATATTTAATACTCAGGGTGAATAAAAGCAGCGGGTCTCAGAGGTAGAGGTCCAAGGTTTTGAGTAAAATTGTCTGCTTTAAGCTCGAGGTAAAAATATCGGTCACATCCGTGTTGAGTGAAAAACAAAGAGAGCACAGGCAGAAATTGGAATATAATGTTTTTATGTGGGCTTAGTGACTGCCTACAATTTAAACTGTCCAGGTATGGCGACGACTGTTAAATGACATCACAAGTACCATAAATGTGCTTGCCTTTGAGCATCAACCAAGGAAATACGGAGCCTTTTTCAGGCCTCCATGTCAACGACATATTTAGGATCGACCTCGCCTCTGTCGTTGATACGACGTTGACATTTGTGTCAATATAAATGGAATGAAAGATTACATTTTCCATGCATTTGACTTGGTTTACTTCAACGCTGGGAAAATGACATCATGCGGATTCACCCTTCAGCTTGTCCATACAGACGCATGCAAATTAGTTACCAATTTTTGGCTACCGCAAGGAAGCCTTATAAGTAAATGCGCATAAATGAGCATGACTATAGCTTGGAATTCTGAGGCTTGCGGCTTCGCCGTTTTGCACCAATATTTAAGCCAAGGCTTTGTCTTTCTATTTACCAGTTGAGATCTGGGAATTCTACACGGGAATGCACTACAATACGCCTAAATTTACTGAGAATCAATAATGCAACATGAGAATGCCATGACCGATTTTGAACACTTCAGTAGTTAGAAAAAATTCAAATGTCAGATGCGATATTTGAAACTGGCCCATTTTGATAGCTACATGCATCGCTTCAAATATTTGCACCCACAATTGCAACGGAAATTGAACTATGCTACCAAATTCATCTCCATAGTGTGTGTCGCTTTTTAATTAGTGCTAAAACAGAATGGAGGTCATTGTTATCTCCGTATGGGGTCATCACACGTGCAGAGATTACGTAGACTTGACGAGGTGAAATGCGAGTCTTAGAGGAAAAAGGTGACAGTCCATCGGGCCTGTTGCTTGCATGTGCTTCCAGTCGTCCGATTGCATAAACCCACTGCCTATCAAGGGTGGATACAACAGCATTGCTGATTGTCGTAATGATATTCCAATGGCAGATCCTAACTGGCTAAATTTACCGCACACATCCAAAATGCCGGGTTACTTCACGTTTGCCACGCGCAAACGGTTTGTGGTCTTGGAAATCATTTTGATACCTATTTCCAACAGAATGCCATATATATTTTATTAGATGTTGTATACTACAATCGAGAGTGGAATAGCAGCGTAAGATATGCGAGAGTTGGTAGAAATTGTCTTTGAGGTTGAGAAAAGAAGACTGCTGCCTGCCAACTCGTAGAGGGTCAAATGCGACATCGACCGCAACTGCAGTAGTCTTTAGTTGACGGTGACATCTTTGATCGACTCAATTTAACGCAATTTGATGCCAAGTGTTTGACGTAGGTGCCAATCAGAGGGGAAGCAAATTGTGTTTTTGGTATGCATTGAGGGTAAAGGCAAACTCAATTAAGGACAGTTTACTGTTGACTAAAACTTATGCCATTGTTTTGTCACCGCTCTTAACTATCACAGTTAATTAAGAGTCACATGTAGAGTTTGCCCGCCCACTTCGTTGATTTCTGTTGGCGTGTTTGGGCACGACCTTAAAGTCTGTTAGGCACTTGTGGCGCTTTGACATTGAGGTGAATGTGTGATGTATGTCGTTTGTAAGATAGTAACTGCGTTGCTCCTCAAGGGGTTTGTTTTAAAACAGTGCCAATTGCACAGTGAGAGGCATTGGTGAACAGGGAGTGAATGTCGTCTAACTGCTGGTAAACAGGCGTGGCAGTCTTCAACAGAGACTCGCTAGTGGCTGTGAAATCTTTTCGAGTCAAGTTGGTTGTGGACATGTTTGCATTTCCACATTTGAATAGATTGGTCGCAGGCAGTAGGTTATGAGCGACGTTGAATAGAAATCGACGCTAGAGGTTAGGAATGCCCGGGGTAGGTTGGAGTTGATTGAGAGACGTTGGTTCTGGTGTCTTTGCGACTGCAATTGATTTTAAATTTGAAAGGCATTATGCCTGCAGCCAAAATGCTGTGACCTACAGAGTCGATTTCTAAAATGTCCAACACGCAATTAAATGCATTTATAAATAAACTGTGTTCATTGAGAGGCTAAAGATACTCCTCGCAATTCCAAAGATCAATCAGAAGATGGTAGATTGAGTGCTAGCTAATACACGTAAATGAATCTACTGGAATCTTTCAGCACGTTTCAACAAATCTAGCGTTCTATGCCAACGTAGTTGTTGCTGGTGTCATCGTTTAGTGTGATTGGTTTAGAAGAACGTGGATGCCGTGTAAAGTGATCGTGCTGATTGCACTGAAATCACCGCCTGAACCCGACTCACAGACAGCGTCCATGGAAACACTGTACGCCGACATGTTTAATGGATGCAAATAAGCACAATGCACTACAACAGTGCATTTTAGTCAGTGACTGGCAAAACATGTCAGCCAAAATCATTAAGGACGTCTTCCTATAAATTCCTATTGTAATGCAGTTTGCCGCATCTGCTCGGTCAGGTTCCAATTAATAATTTCGTTAATTACACCTATTACCGCCAACATAGCTGCAGTTTGCGTCCTCGTTTAGTGGGTTCAATTTAAAAGAATCCCTTGTTTGCACTAAAACCAGCATGCGTACCAACAACGAAGCCATATTTCAAAATTCTCTCTTCTTTATTTCGAAGCATCAGTAGTAATCTTCTTTACCGGACTGAGCCTTGATGCCACATTTCTTAAAATTTTCATGTTTCATTTTGTAGATTTGCGACGAGCTTGCACATTATTATTTTTTGAAAAATGCAATTTGTTTTAAAATTTTTTATTTAATCATCAAATATGGCAGTGCCATAAAATTCCGTAGCAATGCAATTTTGCACAATGCAATTCCTACGCAATCGTGGGCCACGCAATAAATTGCTTGTTGGAAATCACTGCTGCTTACAAATGGATAGTCAGCATATACTACTTTTGTAGAAATGACATGTTCCTAGGTTATAAAAAGATGCATGTGTTTTCTTTCGCCTAGGACAGAAATTACGTTTACGAGGGTTTCTTTCATCTCTGCATGAAAGCCAGCTAACACTTGACTTCAAGTATGAATAGTGACATTGATAGTTGACTTCAATTCACTGTACCACTTGGCAAAACCAGGTAGACAGTATGTGTTCTCGTTTCGTCATGTGCCAATTCACCGCCCTCCTGCATAACAATTTACTTTCTGCTTAAATAATTGCCTGCATTACAAAACTGGACCCTATTTGTGAGGCATCAGGAAAACAATTTTTTCAGAAAAATATAGTAATTTGCCAAAAGGGCTC